TTGCTGATAATCATACCACTGATAATCTGATGTGGACCCACACAATGGGTCCACATCCAAAACCTCCCTAGTGATGACAGACTAAAATATGAACGGAATGAATACAGAAGACGGACAGAAAACCATGTCTGCGTTGAGCTACACATTTTATGCTTAGCTTTAACAGGGCCTTAAAGAGAGAGATAAACGCACAGCAAAAAATTTAAGATTTTTAGGCTTAAACTAATAGAAATTATGACTTTTTCTTTTTCACAGTTATATGCTACTTTGTATTGATTCATCATGTTAAATGCTTATCAAATGCATTGCATTTTGAGGCAATATTTGGAAGTGTGAAAATATTAAAGGGGTATGAATATTTTTGCAAGTGACAGGAACATATATATTCTATGAAACCTGAGGGTCGGTAACACTCGCCTTACTCCATATAATAATCACACACAGCAGCAAATCTTAAAAAGCTCACTTCTGCCTCCTTATAATCTTTCTTGTTATTTCGTGGCTATTATCTTTTTACTTGTCGCCTGGCTTGGAGCTGATTAGGTGAGTTTTTCGCTCCCTCTCATCTGTCCTCATTGCTTTTATGACCCAACTTCTCTGCGCCACACCGTTTCCTGTGCTTCCCCAACAGTCTGCGAGGCAACAATGACTACTCCTGTCATGTGGTCATGGCGGTGTCTGAGACTAGAAAGGGATTCCACGAGAAAATCACATTACTCCAGCTGAGTGAGGAGGTTTGCAACATTTCATAGCTGCTAACAGGAAAGGCAAGTTTTAGTCCCTCTGTGTGTGCATGATTTCCACAACGCGTTCCCACAAAGATGGTTCCTATAATGAGGCAAATCAAACACTTGTAATTGCTAAAAGTATGTACACAAGACAAGAAGGGACAAAAAAGACAGACTTGCATGAAAGAAATGTTTACACATTAATTTGATAGAAGCCGTCAAATTAACTCACAAAAGAGGTAAAGCGTCATCAATTAATGAAAATAGTTCATCTGGGCAGCTGAAATTACTTCGCTGCAAATACGAAGCGAGAGAAATGCCTTGAAGTTGGATTACGCAAAGCATAAATAATTTAAATCCAATCTACGGCTAATTTCAATGCAACTTCTGTCTACGTCTCCCTGCATTAGCACACATTAAACCAACTGCCTCTCAAGCCTTAAAGGGACTTAGAAATCCAAACTTGGGCCTGAAAGGCTCTTGTCTTTACGTCTGGTGCCGCGTTGCTGCAGGAACGGGAGAAATGATTTGAGGTGGAGCAAAATAATAATAATGGTGCAACGGGGGCCTGAGCTGGAGTGATGAGAAAAACAAACTGTGTCATAAGCAGCCGGCGCGTCGGTAAATCTTTTGTTAATACCCCACAGTCATGTTATTTCCCCTTCAGCGGCAATTCTCTGCAAACGCTCTCCTCGCAGGAAGGCGTGTTGGATGAGGACATCAGCGAAGGACTGAGGCAGCTGTTTCAGGAGCAGACACACACATCTGCAGTTAACTTGATTGTGATCGCAACTCTAAAACTCATCAGGAGAGGCAATTATCACGAGATAAACTGCAGAATGTGATGCAATGTCTGGTCATGGTTGGCCTTCACAAACATTCATATTCTCCAAAAGCAGACAGCAGTTATGACTTCATTCTCACTGTTTGAGTCATCAACCAGGCAAACAGGCTGATTCAATCAGAATGACTGAACGCACCAACTGTAAACTTACCCTGTTGGGCCCTGCAGTAATAAAGAGAGCTTATGTATACTTATTTCCACCCTGACATTTTTTTAACAAATGAGAATGTTACATATATGTGGTAAATAATCTGCTCTTCAGCTTTAATGAGGAAAACTGTCATTTGTGTTTCTGAACTCTGCTGCCTTCCGAGTTTGCTCTGATCCCTGCGGTGCCGTTTCAGAAGCTTTGCAGTTTGTTTATTTGCCTCCTAAAAACCCTCGCAACGAGCAACGGCGAGCGCAGGCTTCTGTTTAAACACAAAGTAATGCAAGCACTAAGATCAGGACAACACAAGGGAGGTGGGCAATTACTGTAATGCAGTTCTCTGAAAGGAAGGGTGATGAGAGACTTGAATGTTGTCCTGGTAAAGTATAAATAAAACATCCCCCTCCCAAAGCTCAAACTCAGAATGAAGAAAGAACACTAAATTATTATTTTGGAGCTGAAGAGCCAAGGATATTTTACTTTACTTAGTCCTTGTTCAGCATAGTTTTTGCCTCCATCTGTCCAAACTCACACAGTCAAACACATGCCATCTCATCTGTTCTGTTTTCCATCTTAGAATTTGAATAACATGTTTGCAAATTTTCTACGAAAGATACAGTTTTATGTGTATCAAAGACAAACATTAACCTGTTTAATTTTCTGATAAATTTATTTCCTAATTGTGAAGTGAAAAAAAAAATCAACATGTTTTGAAAAACTGCGGCATGAAGTGACTTTATGCTGAGACTTTTTACTGTAATAGCACTAAAACAAATCCAGTTCAATGACGTTACTCAACCTGAGTCGCATTAATATTAAGTAATTAAATCCAGGTGTTCACAACTGGTAGATATGTACTCCATGGAGAGTTGAAGATATAATTGCAAAATAAAATGTGTCCACAAAGTATGCAATCATGGGAGCACAGTAAACTTTGTTTTTAGCTGTTTTTCTTTTTTCTTTTTTTTATATCTGTAAAATCACTATTGGTACTGTTCCACTCCAGACTTACGCACTACTCTGTGTTGGTCCATTACCTCAAATCTCACCAAAATACACTGAAGGTTATAGCTGTAATATGACAATATGTAAATAAAAATATATCTATTTCAGTTCCAGTTCCAACATTTGCAGATTAACTGTGATGTGCTATTATGAGAGACTGCATCTTTCTCATTCACTTTAACCACAAATATGAGTAACATTTCTTTGCTTTTGGTATCTCCTTTTGAAATCTCTTCTTGCATATCAAGACAAACTGACCTGCATTTAACTTTGCATATTTCCAACCAGACCTCATTTCACAGCATGAAGCCCATAAACTCGTTGAAGCGAGAGCTTCGAAAATACTTGATATTTCTCATGTTCTCCCTGATGGCCCATGACACAGAGTCACTATGAAATCCAGTAGGTGACTCCTTAAATGGAAAACTAGATGTGATGATGCGCTCTCTAAGCATTTCAACTATGTACTTTAAGTTATCTCTACAGTCTGAGGTTTTCTCTTGTTCTGATTCATATTTTAGTTTGTCGGCTCCAATTTAAGAGGCAAAAACATCCAATTTAAAGCTGCGATGAGACTTGTGACCTCTTTTTCAGAGTATAAAAACATGTTGCTGGTGTCATAGTCCTTGGAGAGCAGTGGTCTCCAAGGAGACTGGAGAAAGAGAAACCAGACATAACAAACTACAAAGAGGGATGGGTTTCCTCTTTGCTCTGTGATGAGTAATAGAAAAAAAAACACACTGTTTTGATATCAAACAAGACCCATGGGGTTCTGCAAACTCAGAGACAGCCAGAGTCGGATCTTAGGCTTGTTTTCATGACACACACTCTCCCGTCATAGCAGGTGCAGGTCCATCTGTATTTATCCATGATGTGCGTCTAACCAGGCTTTTGAGAAACATCACTGTTTAGACTGTGATACGAGAAAGAGCTTGGCTCTTCTCTCAGAACATCAACATGAAGACAGAGAGGGGAAGTCTCATGAGAAAAACATATACTGACATCTGAGTTGTGAAAAAAAATGACCTCAGCAGCAGCATTTCCACAAACAGCGAATTGTGCAGAATAAATGCATCTCCTCGTGATGACGTAGATGGCCATTGAAACAGCTAAGATATATCATTTTTAAAAATAAAGTCTTTTGAAATATTAGATATGGCCAATTAATAACAGGTTGTCAGGACTAATTGCTGTTTAAGAAATTCAATACATCATGTTTTGTCCTACAATGTTCCAGACCTGATAGGATGGAGCGAAATACAGAAAAAACCTCAGGAAAAAAACTGTTACCAACCATATGCCTGTAACCAGCCACAGGTACATTAGATTGACTTATTCATGCTTTAGAATGACCTAGTTAAAGTTCCATGCTAAGTCACATTGATAAATCTTTGGAAAGACTTATTTTACACAAAAAAATTGACATATATTTCAGTATATGGATGAGATTGGAAGTCATAGCACAGAAGATAGTTTTGCCAAGTGCTGACTTTTAGGAAGACTAAATGAAAATGTAGGATTCTTCAGATTTTATTTTCTAAATAGTTTTAAAACCATGAGTGTTCTTGCAAGGTATTGTACTTGGAAAAACTACCAAGAAGCCCAATTTAGCAGGCCATTAAAAGAAAACTAAAGTTTAAATCCTAATTAATGCACAGCCCACAAGTGTCTGCAAATGTCCATTTATGAAAAATTTTAACATAAAAGTGAATACAGCTGAAAGTTAAGTGTGTGAAATAAACCCCTATTGCAGAACGAGTGATTTTCAGTTCCATCATTGGACTAAAATTAACTTTTTGCCTGTCTGCTGCTAAATCAGGCATGTACAGCACACAACCCCAGAGTTTACAGAGTTTCATAATCAACTAGTAACCTTACCACAATCTCTGACGCGGGAGAACATGTCGCAATTACAGAGTTTCTTTTTCCAGTATCAACATATCGTCACCTTCCTAAAATAATGTCATTTTTTGCTAAGAGTGATTACTCTTAAAAAATATTTATTTATTTATTTTTTTGCCTAATTCATCTTTTGGCAAAAATAACTTCAGGAAAAAAATGACTTGGCCATCATCTTAGGAAAGTGGTAATGATAAATATTGTTGAGTAAGTTTGGTTCAGTTGTGGTTACTTTTTTCAAATCAAGTATAATTTATCTTAAAATCTATTTAAATGCAATAGAATTCGCAATGTCCTTTAAGTTTTATAAAATATGACTATTTGGGAATTTTCTCCCTGAAAGTATTCATGTTGTGTAATAAATGTGATTACTTACGATCCAAGCCGTTGACATACTTCATGGTTATTTCACAATGTCCCCATACGGCACTCACGATGGGATACAGCTTCCTTCCTTTCAGGCCTCGAAATGCAACTCCTAGATACTGTCCATCCACCATGAAGCTAAGCGTCCCTTCATCCATGTCCAGAATCACTAGGAGAGAGTCCGGGAGTGTGAATGACTCGTCTGGCTCTAGGAAACCAGGGTACGAAGGCAGCGAACTGTGGGACCGGTTCTTACTGTCGTGGTAGAGTCTGTTTCGTCCCAGATCCCAGCCCCAGGACTCACAGTCCGAACCCACTAAAGCGGTGTACCCAACAGAATGTAGAGGAGCTTCTAAGGTTGCCACACCCACCACAGCGTGGGTGCCTCGCTGCCGTGAAGGCCAGTGGATCTTCCACACATGGAGACCCCGTGTGTATCCAACCCGTCCTCTGATGCAGTCCGTGCTTTGAGCAACTGGGTGTCGGTGAAATGTCAACTTGTCGTCCTCTTTGATGAAGATGTTGAGGGAGCGGTCGTCTGGATTCCACGCATGATGGAGCTGCGTCTCCAGTCCAGCGCATGGCATGTCCAACAGGAGATCCAGCCTGGGTGGCTTGGAGAAATCTGGACCCCTTAGCTCCAGGTGTTGGCGGCGATGAGCCGTGGGTCGGTACGACGGGGAGCCGCCACTTTCCCCGCGACCATCCACCGATTTAATGCTGCCTGAAATCTTCTGACCCATGGCTGTGATGAAAGGGTTGGTGGGAGGAGAGGGGGAGGAAGGCAATGTGGTATATGTGCAGGTAGGTGCTGCGGAGCGGGAGCTCGACGTTACCTCATCAATGCGGTGTTGCTGAAGTTAGAGCTAGTAGGTGAAGAGTGGTGGAAGGAAATGAAGGAGGAGGAAATGAGTGGCAGATCTGGTTTCATGCCACAAATGTTTTCATTGTGAGCTGCATCTGGTCCTGTCAGAAAATCATAAGAAAAAAAGACAAAAGAAATTGTTATTAAATGTACTTTTAGCAATCTAGACTTATGAAAAACTACTCTACATCACCTATTCAACAGCCATAAAACTAAAGCAAGTGAGTAGATTTAAAAGCTCTTACAACAAATAAAGGAAACTGTAGGAAAGTGTTTCTTGAAAACAGGAAGTGTGCAACAAATAGGGATGATGCACTTTGGGCACAATGTGCATCAAGACTGTTTTCTTGAGAAAAAACTGTTTGTGCTTTTAGGAAATATGTTAAATGGAGACCGCATAATGACACGAGTGAAAGACAACAACGCACTTTTGTAACAAATGCCAAGTACACAGGAGACGTGGCAGGCAGTCAACAGCCAGTGATAATTGTATGCACAAAGTTGATCAGATAAGAAAATATTTAATCTTAGAGCAATTTTTATTATTTCCAGAAGTTTTTGTGTTCTCTATCATTCCAAACGTCTGCTGATGTCCACTGATTACAACAATTAATAACCCCTTTCACTTTGTTTTGCCACTTAGCTTTAGCTTTCACACATTATTCTATGAGCCCAATGAAGGAGTGTTTTACTGCTCTCAGATCCTCTACATCATTCCTCCTCAATGGAGAAATCTTCACTTTCTGAACTCAAACAGGAGCTGAAAACGTTGCAATCATCACTCTTCTCTAGACTGGATATTGATTTGAGAATTTGGTTTAAAAATGTAACATAATTTTTCAAATTTTCTTTCACACAGATACACTTTGTATTTCTAAATATAAGCTACGAGCATCAACACAAATAAAAAGGAAAATTCAATAAAGCAATTATATATGCCCCCAAACGTTCCACGAGGAAACAGATTCAAACCAAATGTCCTGATAGTGTTGGTAAAACACTTGATATCCCACATTTGTAATTCTGTTTTCAATCATCAGGATGAGAATTCAAGAAACGCAAAGAAATTCAAACAGTACTTTTTATCCCACGACTTCCAAACCTATGATGGATTCATTTTTGCTCTGTGAAAACTACCCAGTTGTGCAACGTTGGCCACATCTGACGCTGGCAAACTCACTTTTAGCTAATCTAATTTTAATGAGCGTTGCCTGAGCCAGCAAAAACAACAACAGAAGGAAAACAAAAGCAATGCGTAATAATTTATCTCCAATCCTTAGTGTGTAACACAGTTGAAAAAGTCATCTTGACGCTAATCCTAATCTGCAAAGAAGGCCGCCAATATATGATGTAACCAGCTGATTACTTTGAAGTTCCTGCACAAAATATCAGATATTTCAGAGGAAAAGCCACAGATACTATTGTAGTTTTATTTTCGAAATTAATTCTATCTTTGAGTCATTTTCAGTGTGACGTTTGAGTTTCATCTGGGGGTGTTAAAGTTTTAGGTCACTTTTCAACAAAGTATCACTTCTGCAGACATCAAACCAGAAGTAAAAATGTTATTCTTCCTCTTTTCACATTAAAAATCAGAACACTACCTGATAAAAGATGGTTTATTTATTCAGTCAAAGTCACTACCAACGGGACAAGGTGCCAGGATTAAGGATATTAGGTTTTTCTCAAATAGTCCGAGATTTATTATTTCAGTCACCATATAATTGGTCTTCAACGCTTAATTTTAGCATACGAAGGCAGAACAAAGATGATCTCACACCCACCCACACGCAGCTCTCTGTAGTTAAACTGGTGCAGAGATCTCTTCCAGGAATGGCAGCTGAGGCTTCCTCTTTGCAGGAAAAAAACAGTCGCACTTCGACAGAAGTGGATGACACAAGTGAGTGTGTGTGCGACTGTGTCTGGTGGTGGTGTTTACCACACATCATTAACTGCAAAACAGCAATGATGTATTTTTTTGAAAATCTTTTTGTTCTAACACATCTGTGGTTGTAACACTGAAACTTCAGACCTCATCAGCCCATCTGACACTTAGATATGAGCAATTCATTTCTCATTTATGTGTTACTTTTGCTTTGAGTGAACAAAGAAATTGTGTCCTCCACCATCCTGTAAGTAAATCTTCTAGCATTTAACTCATTCTAAAAAAAAGGTGTAGGTCTCTAGTCATGAGATTTTACAATGTCTCTTCTCTCCACCCGTCCTCATTTCTCTTTGTGGTGGCAAGATAAAGCCACCACAGATGGTAAGGCCTTTTTAAAGGCCATTGGAGTCTGCTGAAACCATTGGAGTTTAAATGGTGTTAAACTTTTGAAATAATTTTCAAAAAGTACGTAGATATTTTTCTGTAGCCATTATGACTATATCTCAGTGCTTCACTCACTTCACTTACACAAAGGGCACATTCTCTTCTTTTGCCCATCTTCAAGAGTGGCTTAGACAAATGCACATCCCGTTAAACTGAATAAATCCAGTTGGGCACAAGCCTTTTACTTTTCTCTTGCTTACAAGAAAGATAAGTTTGGCTATTTGGAAATATTTCCCTCTGACTGCAAAAATGTTGGCAGCAGGTTATCTACCTGAACAAATAATAAATAATCATTTAATGTCAGCTTCTTATACTTTCTACAATTACACTGTTTAGTGCCAATAAATATTAAAGAAAAAGTTTTATTTTTAGAAACCTCCTTCAGGTTAGGTAAATAAACAGGAGCCTGTGCTTTTAACACTATATAATTAACCAATCAGTAACATAAGTAATGGCATATTATAAAATGAATATGTTCTTTTTAATGCACCTCCAGTCACTTGATGTATGTGGTTTGTTGTATATGGGAAAATTTAACAATGTGTCACCTTACTTTGACAAACCACTTACCATCACAGGAGAACTGCTTAAACAAGAAACTAAAACCCAGTCCAGACAGTCAAAGAGCTCAAATGTACTCAAGCGAACTTGTCAAAACTAAAACTAAAAGCAGTCCTTAGAAAGTCAGCCAAAGTGCAAACAAAAGTCTTTCATCTTTGCTGCTTTCATTTTCTTCATTCTTTCGCTCTCATTTTTCCACCATGAATAAGGTCATTGCAGCTGGCAGCCATCATGACTAATGTCTGCCACTACGCCGCTCACTGCTAAGTGTGAGAGGACAGGCACACACACATTCACCCCACACACACACACACATTCACCCCACACACACCCAAAACAGACAACTGCCTCTTTGTGTGTGTGTCAGCCCAGTTGACATGTAGGTAAGGAGAGGAAGCTGCATGTAAGACTCTGGACTCATCAGTGCCAAACTTCAAAACTTACGATGTGTTTCTACACAAGCCTCGGTTTGGTCTGGTCGGGTCTGGCCTGGCATGTGGCTGACAATTTTGCATGTTAAACCATCATCAACGAAGCACTTGACCTTTGACCCGGTGTCATAACGGTCCCGATTGCATAGTAACTTCTCAGGAGGCCGGTGTTGGGCCGGCGCATTGTCTGCTGCTGCAAATAGCAGGAGTGTGCTTATGTCATCTGTTGTTTACTTTGCTGACCTCCCTCCGTCTTGTCAGTTCCCCTGATTAGCTCCTTCATTCTCCCCTCTATCCTGCTGTTGCTATACTTGCTTGAGGAAACTGTTTTCCTCAGTTTCAATTTTTCTAATGAACCCACTGACATAAAATTCATACCAGGTGTCCAAAACAACACCAGTAATCCATACGTATAAAAATTTAAGCACTAGTTAAGTTATTGGTAAAAAAATTCAATGAAACAGAACAGAAAGGGATAGCAAACCAAAAAGCTGAAGTCTGTCAGTATTTAGAAATCATCTCTGGTATTATTTCATTAATACCTGGTTTAATGAGCTGATGGCTTAAAAAATTGTTTCTCATGATCAAAGTTTTGAACAAAGTGGTACAATCGGTAGACACAAATGGACCTTCGCAAGATAGTCTTAGTGTTGCAAAACCTAGCAATGGCAACAGTTCGATTTCTACATTTTTTATGTGTAACTTTTGACATGTTCCAGTGACTGCTGTTGAAGCTTTAATCTGGTAAGATGAGGCTGCAGCTAAACTCTTTGGATCTCAATGGTCACAACATTTGTGGAGGAGTGGTTCTGCCCAGAAAACACAACATCAAAAAGGAAGTTTTCAGTATTCTGGAGTGGACATCAGCCTCATATGAATATAAATATCAGGTGTTCAATAAATTGATAGCAACTGCAGCTGCTCCTTAAAGATCACAAGTTATCACATAAAGGGGAGAGGAATTTTTCTTCTCTATAGATTTACTTTACTATCAAACATTCAAAAGGAAGGAAGAACACAGAAACTGAACCAACGTGATTAGAGACAGGAAGCAAGCTGTCAGAAGTTGGTAAGTTTAGTACAATCTTTATCAAAAAGTGGCTCAGACTGAGAGGAGAAGGCAAAGACAGGGCAGACAGGCTGTAATGTGCACCTGGTGAGTGGGCTGGCTTCATCTGGCCTCTCCTGCTGTACCCTTATTAACAAGCTTCAGCAGACTGAGAGCTTGTGATGACGGCGTGCATGCACCACTGTAATATCGGAAGAGGGGACTCTGCCTAACTTGCACAGTGTTTTATTGAAACTTGTCCAGTGAGCTTCTGACAGCACAACAGGATTTGAACACACACAAATATAGCCGCTCAACACAGACAAAACACTGCTCTCACCTGCACTGCTGCAAGAGGTCAGATATGAGCTCAAAATATTGAAATAAAATAGAAACTTACTTGAAAATTCTTTGCTCAATAGAGACTGTAACATTCTAGTACAGGACGGGACTAAAACCTCCTGGTCGAGTCTCAGCTGGTCAACTAATGCCAACCAGGGACCCGAAAAAACACAAAGAATGAGCCCATAAAGTTCTACTGTGATTCACTCTTCCTGTTTCTTGTCTCAGTCAAGAACATTGTATTTACATTTATGCTTCAGTCAGCTTATTTAGAGCCATATCCCTGCCACCTGCCGACAGTAACAACAGGAAACTTCTATTGTATTTGCCCGATTAAAGAGCACAATGATAAATTTGACATCTTTGGAAATTCCTTTTTTTTTTCTTCCCCTG